GACCATTCTCGCCACTGTGCATTGAAGGAGCCTGGTTGCCCGCCTGCTGCCTTTAGACTATGGCTCCATGTTGAAACGCTTGATTTTCCCCTGCAAAGACACGAAAGCCGGGTCATTCGGTACTTGCCCTATTTGAACAGTGATACCCCAGATGCCATGGAGCCCATTGATATAACAAAAGACTATGTGAAAGACTTTGGCTCCATGGCAATTGAACTGTATGTATGTGATCTGAGCGCCATTCAGTAATAATGTGTGCTCAGATCTAAGCTATCTGGGGATATGTTGAATGTACCTGTTTTATGCAATATATATTTTTATGTATTTTATTGTCTTTTGCTACCATGTGTTCAATGGAGTTTTGCCTCTGTCCTTGGAGATAATTGGATTACTTCCCAATTATCTCCAGGATAGAAGACTCTTTGGAACTGGTTTTGGGCAGAAAAGCCATGCTTCATTTGGTCACAAAGGACTTTGATCTATCTTTTGAACCACTGGACCAATTTGGAGTATGCGAATTCTGAAAATATAAGTTTTATGTGAATGTGATGTATACTTTTAACGTTATGAATAATGTGGAAAAACAGTATTTCTCTCCCTGTGATAATTACATTAACCCATTGTGTAAGGTGATTGTATCACTGGCAGAGGGGAGGATTTTGTGTGGGAGTGTATTGTATGTGTTTATTGGTTGTTTTACAAAACCCTGTGGGTGGTACTAATGTGTGGGAATGTGTATATAACAACAATAAACCCACAGCTCTGTCTGTTCCTGCTTGACCCTCAAAACAGAGCCTTGTCTCGTTCTTGGGGGGATTTATTGTATGCTGTTCCAGTTCGACTGCTAGGAGTGTAAACCTTTCGTATGGTTTTTCCTATTCGACTGTTTACAGCATTCGTATGTTTGAGAGCATTCATATGCTTCTCCGGTTCGGTGGATTGGTGTCTACAGTAGCTGCCTGTATATCTGGAAGGGGAATATCCTCTAAACAGCGTTTAACCCCTTTTATGCCCGGGGTGCTGTTACAATTGGTGGCAAGCGGTGGGATTGTTCCTGCAGCCAGAAGGACAGCTACAGGAGATACCATTCCGTGGATTTTACAATTTGAGGGCAACGCATGTCCCAGTACAGCGACCCTGACAGCACCGGAATGGAACCAGCAGTGGAGTACAATGAGGGTGTCATGGATGACCGAGATGCAGTCCGCAAAGGCATCTGGTACCAGGCACTGGGTATTGTGGAATATCTGCGGGACAAGAGGCTCCCCAAGGATGAGCAGCGACAGCAGAAGTGATTAGCCCTGCAGATGCCCTTCCTGGGAGAGCAGCCCCTGAAAGAGTAGGTAGAAGATCTGAAGCACCTGGTATGGCGGGAGATGTGGCTGGAAGATGCCTACTAGGCACTCTGGAGGTATGAAGCTCAGTACCTACCCCGGACAGCCGAGCATCATAAGCCAGAGGGAGACAAGTTTGATGGTCCTGGCTTGTTATGGGAGACTTTTGCAGAACCTGACTTTGGGAGCCCTGAAGAGACCCAGTTCAATGATCTCTTTGAGTGGAGGGAGAGCAGGTATGACTGGGATGACCTTCACAAGATTGAGCAAGACCTGGTGCACCTAGTGACCCGAGAGATGGAGCTGGAGCAGGACTACCAAAATCTGTTCCACTCCAGTAAGAAGGCTCAGCAGGGAAGCGGAGACCCAGATCCAGAACCCTTCAGCTGGGAAGATATTGTGGAAATTTACTGGGAAGAACCCCAGGTGGCCGGTGGAGATGGGACCGAGGTCTCTCCACCGGTCCTGCAGGGAATTGGGAGCCCAGTCTCCATTCCCCAGTGGCAGAGTGATTTGTTGGGAATTGGGAGCCCAGTCTCCATTCCCCAGCGGCAGGCTGAGTTACAGGGGGCAGAGACACTTGGTCCTGTCCCCCAGCGGCAGAGCCAAGTGCAGGGAATTGGGAGCCCAGTCTCCATTCCCCATCGGCAGAGTGTCCAGCAGGGAATAGAGAGCCCAGTCTCCTTTCCCCAGCAGCAGGACACTGTATTGGGAGCGGAGACAGTCGGTTTCCCTCCCCAGCGGCTGGAAGTATGTATGGGAGAGGAGCTTGTAACCCCCTCTCCCGAGGGGCAGCTTAACGCACCAGTGAGAGACAGTAAGTCCCACAACCGTGCAGATGGGACTGTGGTCTCTGCGCTTACAGCACAGTGGGTAGGGACAGTTGGTCCTGTCCCCCAGCAACAGGGCTGTTTAGCCAAAGGGGAGACAGTTGGTCTCCCCCCACAGCAGCATGGTGCTTTGTCCAAAGGGGAGTAGATCGATCTCCCCCTCCAGCAGCACAGCTATGTATCCAAAAAGGAGACAATTGGTCTCCCCCTCCAGCAACCAGGCTCCCACCAGGCTACTTCCGTGGTAGTGCTGGCACCAGGGCAGAGTACAGCTGGTCTCTGCCCACCTCGCAACCCACCAATTCAGCGTACCAGTCCCCCACACAGCTGTGGTGAGGCACCTGGACATGGACAAGTTTTCCCCGTACTCAGGTCTAGTAACCATTTATTGTGGGTGGGCTGTACTACTAATTGTGTTTTATGGGTGGGTTGCTGGACTCACCAGGGCACTGACCGGCAGGAGGTCAGATACCCTGTTAGTCTGTTTGGAAAAGGGGAGAGATGTGATGAGACCAATCTTGCCACTGTGCATTGGAGGAGCCTGGTTGCCCGCCTGCTGCCTTTAGACTATGGCCCCATGTTGAAACACTTGATTTTCCCCTGTAAAGACACGAAAGCCGGGTCATTCGGTACTTGCCCTATTTGAACAGTGATACCCCAGATAGCTATGCCATGGAGCCCATTCGTATAACAAAAGACTATGTGAAAGACTTTGGCTCCATGGCAATTGAACTGTATGTTTGTGATCTGAGCGCCATTCAGTAATAATGTGCGCTCAGATCTAAGCTATCTGGGGATATGTTGAATGTACCTGTTTTATGCAATAGTTGCACAGTTATATATTTTTATGTATTTTATTGTCTTTTGCTACCATGTGTTCAATGGAGTTTTGCCTCTGTCCTTGGAGATAATTGGATTACTTCCCAATTATCTCCAGGATAGAAGACTCTGTGGAACTGATTTTGGGCAGAAAAGCCATGCTTCATTTGGTCACAAAGAACTTTGATCTATCTTTTGAACCACTGGACCAATTTGGAGTATACTGATTTTGAAAATATAAGTTTTATGTGAATGTGATGTATACTTTTAACGTTATGAATAATGTGGAAAAACAGTATTTGATCTATCTTTTGAACCACTGGACCAATTTGGATGATTTTGACATATGTTTGTATTTGGAGTATGCTGATTCTGTTCTTATGTGAATGTGATGTATACTTTTAAAGTTATGAATAATGTGGAAAAACAGTATTTCTCTCCCTGTGATCATTACATTAACCCATTGTGTAAGGTAATTGTATCACAGGCAGAGGGGAGGGTTTTGTGTGGGAGTGTCTGAGTGTATTGTATGTGTTTATTGGTTGTTTTACAAAACCCTGTGGGTGGTACTAATTTGTAAGAATTTGTATATAAGAACAATAAACCCACAGCTCTGTCTGTTCCTGCTTGACCCTCAAAACTGAGCCTTGTCTCGTTCTTGGGGGGATTTATTGTATGCTGTTCCAGTTCGACTGCTAGGAGTGTAAACCTTTCATATGGTTTTTCCTATTCGGCTGTTTACAGCATTCCTGTGGTTCCGGTTCAGCTGTTTACGGCATTCATATGGTTTCCTGTTTGGCAGCTTGGTGTCTTTGGTAGCTGCCTGTGTATCTGGAAGGGGAATATCCTCTAAACTGCGTTTAACCCCTTTTATGCCCGGGGTGCCGTTACACATTCCATTCCGCTCTCTACCTGGGATTTCGAACTCTGCCCCCCTTCGGTGGTGACGGCCAACAACTCTGAGAATTGTTTGAATGCCATAGATAGATGGCAAAGAACCTCTAGTCAAGCCATACTAAAATGGTTTTACTACTTATAATTGGTGGTGGGGATCATCAGGGCACTTCTCGTACCATAATCACAACTATAGTGTGCTACAGTGGTTGGGTTATGATGTATGGAGCGTTCCTTCAAATTGGCGCAATTTAATGTTTAGCGCACAAACCTCAATGTGGTGAGTTCTTAGATTGATAAGAATAAGGCCAGTCAGGACAGCTGGTGCACACCAGACAGTTACAGTAGTCCGCTGAATATAAACACATCCAAAAATGAAATGTAAAAAAATATCTGGACGGTTTGGAGGCCTGATTCTTTAAAGGCAGAGAGTGGCACTAGGATGTACCCCAGGTATAAGCAAATCCATTAAAACATGGTTTGAGTACTTACAGGACACGTGACTGTAGTGGTTACAGTGCTTAGTGTTCCTCATTATCCACTCACCATTTTACAGTGCTTTTAAAAAAAGGAAACCACGTATACCAGCTTAAAACTCGTAATATAATGGAACATTGTAAAAGGTAATATCTGGAACTATAATGCTATAGTCCCTAAGTATCATCCTAATTTTACAAAATGTTCCCATTCTTTCAAACAGAAATAAACTACAGAAAACAAACAGCTGTCTAGTTGTCACTTTTCATGAACTGAAAACAAAAGTCAGGCTGTGACCACAATCATATTTCAAACCACTTACTTTTTATATAAATTTTACAATTTAAGCTTGAATTTACTACAATTCATTTTTAGTAAATAAGCCCACCCTATCTTTAAAAATCCATAATATCCTGCTAAAGGTCTCTATGTGATTTATTTGTGTTCACATGCAAACACTATTATTATTTCCCCCATAAATATCATGCAAACTCTATGGTAGAGAGAGCCATAACTGTGCATTGCAGACAGCACGGACGGCGATTTCACTGTCCCCTCCTTTATTCTCTATGTAAAGCCAGCTCCCAGGTCCTACAGACCTGCAACACGCATGCGCACAACGCTGGTATCCCGGCAACGTCTGTTAAACAACAATCAGGGCGCCTGATGTTGTGATTTTCCCGGGAGATCCTGCTTAGTCTGCGACATGTATCAAAACGGGGAGGCGTATTTTCCCAAGAGGAAGAAAGTTCCCAATCGCTTTATGTAAGTGACGCTCCACACCTAAAATCCTGGAGGAGTTGGAGTGTGGCTAGTAGTAAGATTGCCTCCCCTCATTGCTGGTGGAATGATTAGAATGCTCATTTAGAATGATGGCATTATTAGAATTCCAAATATAAGGAGTACTTAAATAAATCCCACCAGTTCATTATTGTATGCATATTATATACATATATATAAAATAATAATAAAAAAAAAAACCTCAGTGTTCTTGGAGAAAAACCTATGTAGAAAATGACCCAAGGTTATAAAACGTTTTTACTAATTGATCCAAAACAAAAACACTATTAATAGTGGGGAAAAGTTTTTTGTTTTTTTTTAAATACATTACTATGATGATCTTACTGTATAGCACAGTGAAATCCTTATACAGATACAATAATAGATAATATCTAATGTGTAATAGGTTTTACTGTATGAATTAAAGGGGAAGCATGCCAGTTTTACAAGCAATTGTGATGATGAAAAAGGGGAATATGTACAAATGGGACCAAATAGAGAGGTAGGCAAACCGCATGCGAAGGCTAGGTGTTGTGGGACTTGTAGTTTTGTAACACACAGAGAGACACCTGTTGCTCATTCAGGTTTAGGTTCTATGAGAAACTAACTATAATATTAATAATAAAGTAAACATTATGTAAAGTAAACCGTCATTATCGCTATAGGATAATACTCGAAACAATGATCAATTTCATAGTAACTCTGTAAATAAACATTGCCATAGGGAGAGAGAGAGAGAGACACACACACACACATATATCATTCATTAACCTGAGTGAATTCCATCCGGACTAAATGAAGGCCAAGATACAAAAATGTTTGAAATACAAAATGTAATAAATATTTAAAGCCAAACATTCTTAGACTTTGCAGTACAGCCAAGAAAATGTATGAGCTTATAAAAGGTTCACCAGTATATACTACAACCAAAGTGTTTAAAGGAAAAAATTAACTTTTAATGATGAAATCATTTTTTCAATATGTTACTATAACAACCTCATAATGTAACACGCTGAAATCCATATACAGATACAATTACGCACAATTATATTTAATTGATTATATGACACCAGCTAAGTGAGTTTTTCCACTTTGACGCAAAATGTTTAATTATCCACATAGTTACATAGTTACATAGCTGAAAAGAGACTTGCGTCCATCAAGTTCAGCCTTCCTCACAAATGTTGTTGCTGTTGATCCAAAAGAAGGCAAAAAACCTGGTCTGAAGCGCTTCCAATTTTGCCACAAACTAGGAAAAAATTTCTTCTTGACCCCAAAATAACAGTCAGATGTCTCCTTGGATCAAGCAGCCATTACCCCACTAATTAGAAATGATATCCCTGTATGTAATGTTTTTGTAAGTATTTATCCAATTTCAGTTTAAACATCTGTATGGACTCTGACAAAACCACCTATTCAGGCAGAGAATTACATATCCTTATTGTTCTTACTGTAAAAAAACCTTTTCTTTGCCTTAGATGAAATCTCCTTTATTCCAGCCTAAATGTGTGACCTCGTGTCCTATGTATAGCCCTGTTTATGAATAGATTTCCAGATAAAGGTTTGTACTGGCCCCGAATATATTTGTATAAAGTTATCATATCCCCTCTCAGGCGCAGTTTTTCCAAACTAAACAGATTTAATTTTTTTAACCTTACTTCATAACTAAAATGCTCCTTTTATCAATTTTGTAGCTCGTCTCTGGACCCTCTCCAGTGCCATGATATCCTTCTTTAGAACAGGCGCCCAAATCATTCACCAACACAATCCTAGTGTTGGTGAATAAACTCCCGTGGTCAGAATTCATGGGTCCCTTACAAAAATCACATTGTCTGAGCTTCCTGATACACATTACCAGACGTGTACACAGGCAAACAGAAACATACACACAAATATACATCTCAGACGTATTCACACATTCACACATAGATACACACTAAAGGCAGTGAGCAGGTAACAAGTCAAACCACTCAAAAACATTATGACTGCTTACAGTGGAGACGGGGACTGGACGCCAAGACACTCCTGGAACCATCACCACTACATCAAGCTCTAGTAGTTATGGTGGTTGGAGAGTCCCTTTAACTAAATGTTAGTTGTTAAATGTGTGATTATCTCAGTTGTAACAATTTTATATATCTATTGGTCTATCTTCTCTGTCTGCTCGTCCATCAATCTATCCATCTGTTCATCAATGGATTTATATAACCTATATTAAACAGAGCAAGCCCTGCTCCTAAAAGACAGCTTCCTTATCAATGACATATTTCTCTATCTATGGTCAGAAGTATGTTAATTGCATGTTTTGTTTTTTACAGCCCTAATACGTTTAGAATATTTGATGAAAACTTGTACGATGTACGGCAGAAAGAAGTACCCAAGAGGCATACAGTCAGACAGCCGGAAAAGCCGTATATTCCAAGATCCCCATCCCGTAATAACATGCCTCATCCATACTACGCCAAGTGTATCCGAGACAACGTTAGGTTTCTCCTCGAGCCAATAACTCACATGGAGACTGCAAGCACCAAGCACAGACAGGTATAGCTTGTGATAACAGGAAGCAGGATTGGGGCGCACTGGGCGGGGTCTTTACATGGCACATGTTTTCTAGTAACAGGACCGGATCCCTGATTGACTGTCAGGGGGGTGAAACATGATTAATTTATAAAAGTGCCGTTGCACTAAAAAAGGAAGACACACACTTCACACATAGAGCGCCTCAGCAAGCTAAAATGCTTTAGGGTTCTTGAGTGTCCTTTTAAAGAAACTGACACGCAAATCATTTTTGATTTGGAACACAATAGTTTTGTCAGGGTTTAATATTTGAATCCTATGCTACTAGCCATTTCTTTAAAGCTACTCGCACCCACGGCAAGTCATAGCATACTCACTAGGGGTGAATTTCTACTTGCTAGGCCTACATTTTCACTAGCCAACGGCTGTTGGTGAGTGTGAATTTTGTGCCCGAGCTTAAGGATACACATTGCTACCTAGGTCAGATCTTCCCAAGGTGGATCAGTTTTGTTTATTGTGATTGTTACCCCATTTACAGCAGTGAATAAATCAGTGGGGGTACGTAAAATCCTTGTGTAACCTCTGGTGCACTTCTGTGTTGTGGCAATAATGGAGAGATCAAAAATATGCCCACATGTGCACTAGGAATTTTCTCTGACAGTGCTGTAAGTTATATTGTGGGGCTAAACATACCTCCAGTTGCTGTTACCATGATAACCACTAGATGGTGCTTCTGCGTCCAGAACTGAGTTTGACATGGTGGTTGATGGTTGGTGCCCTTGCGCATTGCATGAGAACATTTAAATTTCAATCACTGCTTCTTGTAGAGAAGCATTGGATTCAGTTCCTCTAATAGGTAACATTTGATTGGCTCATCACGGTGATTGCCACACACACACATTAAGTCCATAAGGTTTGTCTATGTGAAGCATTTCATTGGACAAAAGAGTTATCAGGTCTGATGATCTTAGCGCATAGAATAGGCTGTCTTGGTGCTGGAATACAGGTGAGTAAAGGGTTAATTTAGGTTTTTTTTACATTTTTTTTACTAGAAAGGGAAACCCTGGAATATAAAAAAAACTCCTTGGGGAAAAAGACGTTATGGGGCGCTATATAGTGTTCCTACAAAGCACCATAACCTACACAGTTGATGGTAGTGATTATGACACAAAGAGTGTTGTTCTCCCTTATACGTCAAACTGTTGTTGTTTTTTGGGGGGGAGGGTTTGTGTGGTTTCACAAAAACAGGTCTTTCCTGGTACTCGAGGCCTAAGCCTCTGCTGTGTCTCCGATAATGCAAAGGTCCCACTTGTATTACTTGCAGCAAATCTCTATCATTCAAGGTTGGACAGCTTTGGACAGATAATATGTAAGTGGAGTTTTGGCATTATTTATGCTACTGCAGCATGGCTAGCGAGTCCACATGAGAGCGAGTGGCCCCAGTGCTACTATTCCACTGTATCTTACATGAGTTGACCATGGGTCCTAGCACACTGCACTAGTAGAATTGTGTTAACGTCAGCAAAACTGTATCTGGAATGTTTACAGCTGGGAATCTCAAAACAGTCACGGGGGATAAATATTTCTCATTTCCAAAGAGGGGCAGGGCTGTAAGTAAACCTAATGGTCCCTCATACCATAAAGTTTGGTAGTCCCTCATTTAGGCACTCTTTATAAAAACGCTATTGGATTTGTTTACTAAACTGATAATTATGGAAAATTTGCAAAGGAATTTAAATTTTTAGACCAACAACCAAACCGAAAAAATCCCTTTCTAATTCTCCAAATTTCTCAGTTTAGTGATCAGAAATAAATCGAATTTTAACATTTCTTGGACTTCCACAATATTGAACTGATCAACAGAGGTTGTATGTTTGTCAAACTAAAAGAGCAAAACAGCATTAGTATGTTTTATGTGAATTACATAGCAGTGCGTGTTTTATTATCTTAGTGATAGTATTAGTAACATTTTTTCACTTCTCGAAGTTGTGGTTTATTTGTTGAAGACAGATATATTATCTCAGAATAAATCTCCATAATAATTTTGGTTGAAATCAAGTAAAAACCATAGAAACATTGGATCGGTTACTCCTATCATGTTGTTTTCAGTTTTTTACTAGTGATAATTTATCTAGGCAGAATTCCAGTTTTCTGTAACTCGGCCACTATCTAGACAAGTTGTCAATGTACAAATGGTATTATATTTACAGATAACAGTCAATAACCTGGTCATTGGTACTGCCATGTTGCATATGTGTATAGTGTAGGTTCTGTGTGTGCTTGCCTTTCTCTATCACGGTATGTGTGTATTTATATATTTATATTATCTAACTATTGTTCCTGTAACATTTTGTAATTGTCTAATTTATTGTTGAATTTCCCCCTTTTATAATATTGTAAAGCTCTGCGGAATAAGTTGGCGCTATACAAATAATAATAATTAAAATAAGATTTCACTATTGATCTCAGCATGATCTCACATTTTACCTGTGCCTCTAGATTTTTGGAATAATAGTATAAAACAACTCAAAGCAGTAATTTGTAGTGGATTTAATTATAGTATACAGTTTAATGTAGTGATTCTGGCATCCATTGCAAGTCCCTGCAGGCTTGGCATTGTAAATGCTGCCCTTCAAGGGAAAAGGCAGTGTTTACATTGCTGCCTAGTAACACCTCTAGTGGCTGTCACTCAGAGAGCCACTAGAGAGACTTCCTGTTAGCAGCATCTATGTTCAGCTCCACTCTCCCCATAGAGATGCAGTAAATCAATGCATCTTTATGATGAGATGATGAGATGCCGAATGGCCTTTTTACTTAACGGTGAGGGGGGGGGGGCCATTTTACTATTAACCATGGAGTAGGTGCTTGGAGCTTGTATGTGCAAAGCTTCATTACCGCTTCTCTGGCAATACAACTTTCTGGGCTTTCTAATGATATATCAGTGCATATTGAGTGTCTGTCATCACAGCATGCTGAAGACAGATGATTAATGGCAGCCTGGCCCCTTTCTCCTTCCCGCCCAAGTCCTCCACCTCAGGCTGTCCTCTGGGGCGTCCCTACACTTGCAGTGAGGGGTATCTGGCTGCCAGAGGAACTTGGCCTCAGTATGGGACCAGAAGTAATTATATTCTTTATTTTTTTTATTTATTTTTTAACTTTATTTTTGCATTGACAGAAAGTAAGAGAGAGATATACTCCAAGGCTTGCTCAGAAGCCAATGTTCACAAGTGTATTATACATAGAATTGTTCATACTTGAAAAGATCATTGAGTGGTAATGCATTGGAGTGCTGTACCGTAGAAGTCTATATTCTTTATTTTTAATATAAAACACTTTTGTTTTGATTGGAGTAACCCGTATTTGAATGCTTTAGTACATTTTCAATGAAACAAAAATAATATACCAGTGTTAATGCATAATTTACTTACTATTTGCTAGAGCCACCAATATGTTAACATGTATAACACATGGCTAATAACATTGATCTTTCCTGCTGCACAGACAGAGTGGTGGCCTACTGAGGCAGAGAAGCCGCTAAGTCATAAACCACCTTTTGACAACAAGACCACGCAACGGAGTGACTTCACCCCAATTCCCCATTCCAGTCCTCAAACGCGACACGGTTGTAACCCGAACAAATCATCTCAGCCTGGTATAGGTAATATTCTCTAATATATGGGGCAATGGCAGGCATAATTATACATCTGTAATCTGTAATGATAATTGAATATTGCTCTGAGTGTGTAACCCTAATTTATTGTAGGTTTAGTGAAAATGAATGGAATCGAGTGGAATGTACAGACATTTGAGGCTGGATTTTTGAATAGCAATTCATCTATTGAAAATCGCTGTTCAGTAAGCAGAGTAAACCATTACTCTGCTAAGAGAATCCAGCCCTCAGTGTTTGATGATAAACTACGCAATGATGCTTTATTATCAAAATAGATTGTGAGCCGTTTGAAGCAAGCATCACATGACATTTTGTTATGACTATCACAGTACAGGTGTAAGTGGCAATCTCCCACCATGCAGGACCGGTGCAAGGATTCTCACCGCCCTAGGCAAGAATCCATTTTGCCGCCCCCTCATGAATGCAACTACATTCCCTCAGAAGTTTATTCACTAAACTCTGAATTCCAGTGAATAGACATTTATGGAAAAAGACACACTGAGTAGACATTAAAGGGAAACTATAGTGCCAGGAAAACACACTTGTTTTTCTGGCACTGTAGCTTCCCCCTCTGTCAAGCGCCCCTACCTTGTGGTTCAAAAAGGGTGAAAAAAAAACCTTTCGTTACTTACCCTGGTCCAGCGCTGATGTCCCGTGCTGGCTCGGTTCCACCTTCACCCCTAATGGCTGCATTAGGTTTTCCCCATAGGAAAGTATTACACATGCTTTCCTATGGGGTTTTGCGTGACACTGGACGTCCCCATGCATAGCCACTAGAGGTGTAGTTAACCCGCAATGGTAATCATTGCAGTTTGTTAAAAACTACAATAATTACTTTTGAAGGGTTAAGGGCCCTGGGGCAGTGCATACAAACCACTTTAATGAGCTGAAGTGGTCTGGGTGCCTATAGTGTTCCTTTAAGTTAAAGCAGACGCACAGTGAGAAATTTAGAGAATGGAAACAGCCTGGGGAGACATTTAGGGAAAGGATACAGAGACTGTTGAGATATTTAGGAAACAGAGACTGGGAGACATTTAGGACAGAGACATAGTAAGCACACATTGAGAGAGAAAAAAAGACACTTACTAACACACACACTGGCATACACAGTGTCACTTACACACTCTCACTAACACACACACTATCACTGACATACACACACAGTGTCACTTGCACACTCTCACTAACACACACAGTGTCACTTACACACGCTCACTGACATACACACTATCACTGACATACACACAGTGTCACTTGCACACTCTCACTAACACACACAGTGTAAATTACATACTCTCACTAACACACACAGTGTAATTTACACACTCTCTCTCTCACACACACACACACACACACACACGTACACACTCTCACAAACACACACACACTGTCACTCAAACACAAGCTCAAACCACTACATAAAGTCACACTTTGTTTACACACAGAAATATTTAACACACACACACACACACACACACACAAACACACCAATTTACAACCATTCATACAATAAACAATCCCCTGTTAGCCTATGTGGGTGCTGTGAAGAGGAGAAGAGGTCAAGACTGCAGGAAGTTTTTCTTTTTGTTAGGGGAGCCGTGCACTGTGTGCACCAGCTGCTTCCTGTTCCCCTCAGAGTGCTTCCCTTGTTTACAGGCAGGGGGCAGCCAGGAAACCAAGTCACATCTCGGCTTCCCTTGCCTGCTGGAAGCAGTGTGCTCTGCTTGGGTGCTGGGGTTGCAGCAAACCCCGTTCCCTGAGCAGGCAAACGGCGGAGGGGAACCCAGCAGCTGAATGGCTGCGTTGGGGGGTGGCTAAAGAAACTTCCTGGTGGGTGCCCCCTGCAGGTCAGCACCCCAGGCGAATGCCTTATTTGCCTTATTGTAGCGCTGGCCCTGCCTTTATGACCCTTTCTTGAAAAGAGGATCTGATTGAAATATCATAAAACCTACACACAAATGCCATTTCAGAGGCATCTTAACGAGAACCCTTTGTTGGTGATTTGCTGCCAATTTTAGATATCGAGCACTTATGCTCACTTGTTTTTTCTATATCTTATAGCCTGCGATTGTAATTTCCCAGGAATCAGTAAATAAAGTTTTTTTTCATTTTACGTATATTTTTAGCTCTCCATTATCTCGGTTTCCTTTGGTCTAACTCTCCCATGCTGTATGTTTGCAATTAATATATATAGAATTCCTGCTTCCATCGAATACAAATAAACAGTATTAACCCTTGGTATGTTAGACAAAAGTGTGTGCCATTTGCAACAACAGCACAGGGAAGGTTAAATAATAAAGAATAATAACAACCTGTATTAATGGTGGTTAACCTTTCATAGTCTAGTTATTGCAGATTGTATTTCACATAAAGCTCAGCCAGCCAACGCCAAAGGTTAGTCATAGTTGCTCTAAATACATTGTCACATACTTATTCTATATCTTGGTTTTTATATATTTAACATGTTTTGATAGATTTTCATATTCAGATTATTACAATGATTGGTTTTATATTTGTTATTCCTTTAATTCTGTAATTGTTTTGAAGATTCTATCTGTTACTGTTAAAATGGGCTTATTTCCTTATGGCGCTGATGAGGTTAAGCCAGCATGAACTAAGCAGACGATATGTAAAATCTCATTTCACATCTGATACGTGGGTGTCTCCGAGCAGGCCAAATTAACGTGCCATGTTTCTCTGTTATATTCAGTTTTGTTTTCTTCTGCAGCAGTCTGTGATAGCAAAAAGATCTTCAATGACTTCATTAATAACACTATATCAGGTTGCTCTCAAACTGTAACAAACTACAGTTCCCCTGATCCTCAGTTATCTTTTATTAATGATAATGCACAATTATATCAGTAATTTTCATAATGTAACCTCTTGTAGAAGACTTCACTCCTAGAACGATGGCCTGCCTAGAAAAATGCAGAATAGAAAAATAAAGTATAAAAATAAATATTCCAGGACTTGGAATGGCCAGACTAAATGTTCTAAATGTAAAGAGATTCTCTGTTTCAAATGCCCTAAAAGAGTGAGTATAGTTAAAAACCAGGCCCGAATAAAGGAAACTAGATGTATTCAAAGTCAAATAATGCGATCTGATGGTTCAATAAGCCAAACAAGTTAGCCATACAACGTTAGGTTATATATTAAAGCAATAATACACATTATAATGCACTATAAGACTATAATGAAACTTGAGAGGCCACAGTCTGTTTACCAGACAGCCACTAGAGGCGCTTCGTGCAGTTTCACTGAGTCTTATTCACGCTTTGCATGAGGACACCCAACGTTTTCAAAATCCACATAGTGAAGCATTGAGTACATGCTTTCCTTTGGGGAAGGCCTAATACGCACACGGCATTTGCTGTGCATTCGCATTAGGTTCCCCCAGTCAGTTGACATAGGCCTCAGTTGACGAGGAGCTCGGCCCAGTGCAGAGGAACATCGCACTGGAATCAGCAAGTGTATAAAGGGTTATTTTACTCTTTATATCGCCCGGGAGGGGGGAAAGGGGGGTGCAAGGGAGCGGGAGGCAGAAGGTTCAAGTAGTGTTAAGAATACATCTTTCTCTCCTAACACTATAGTGCTCTTTTAAATAATTATAACAGATAAATAAGCTTTATGCTGTTATGTGGACATTAGACGAAGCTTGTCAGTGAGTGTTGGCATCTCAGGATGAGGTTGGGTGCTTGCCGTGATTTAAGTAATCTTGTAAACTCCGTTGAAGGGGAATTGTTTGGCTTGCTTTGCCGTTAACACTTAAGCTATAAGACGGCCAATAAAGTGTGGCAATTCTTCAGGTATACGAGAGTCCATAACTCCTCTGATTTTAATGTTCTTCCATCTGTCCTTTTCATCCAAGTGGTCGACACGTAGAGAAAGGGTAGAGTGGGATGTTTTCAATTCATGAACTTTTTCCTCAAACGCCATCATTCTTTGCTTTATATCTAGGAAGTTTTCTTCTGTGGCTTGAACATGAATTTTTCAGTGCCCGTATTTTAGTTTTCACAGCTGCCAAGTTGGCTGCAAACAGTTTCTAAATGTTCTCATACAATCAGTTAATGTCCTGCCTTGTGGCCAGGGTGTTGTCTCCATAGCCATTGATACCTCTTCTGTCATTATTGGTATAATAGGGTCCTGTGTGGACTCCATAACATTATCCTCAACTGGTGGTCCGCAGGCTTCAGAGACCCGCGCAAGCATTAACGTTCAACAAGATGTGTCTTGGAACATCAGACCGATATCATGGGTCTTTTTTGGTGCTGGAATTTCTTGCCCCATCACCTCTGCCTCGGTGGGCCAATATCCTGGGCCTGCAGGTGCGTTTTCCCTCTGCATGGTTTGGCCTCTGGATGACTTCTGCTTCCTTGGTGCTGCATGTACAGTAAGCCCAAGGGGTCCGACGACAATTCCCAGCTGCCAGGGAATAGAAGAAATGCACTTATGCGGTAAGCCAACCCAGAGGCACTCCCTTTGTTTTCCAGGGTGTATGCAGAGGCTGATAAGCGAAATCTGGTAGATCTTTATTGTGAAGCTTGCAGCCGAGTTATATGGCACCCATGCTGGTGTGCTGCTGGGCTCCACCCCCTTTACGGTAGCACTTTTAACATTCTCTTCAGACTTGGTGAACAACTGCTATGAGCCTCTTCCCAAAGAATAATTTGTTTTCTTTTAGCTGGTATTAGCATAGCTGGCCAATCAGGTTTGGGTCTGACCAGACTAAAACCAAAAGCCACATCAGATGGAATTTTCAATTTGTATTGTGCATTCATAGTATGTGTAAAGCATGGCATGTGGTTTTGTTTAAACAAAACCTAACCAGAAATCTGGCATAGCCCAGACTCATCCTTTTATAGCTAAACCACCCAAAAGAATGCGAACATCCGTCAGTGTTTAACGGTTTATATCAATACTGTACTAATTTACAGTTAAACCAAGACATCAGATAAGATATAAACACCCACCTATATTGTTATTCCAGCCTATAACTTTATAGGGTGCTAGCTGTCTTTCTGCTAAATAGCCACTGTCCCAATCCTGTATCAATCCTCACTGTCCCCAATCCTGTATCAATCCTCACTGTCCCAATCCTGTATCAATCCTCACTGTTCCAATCCTGTATCAATCCTCACTGTCCCCAATCCTGTATCAATCCTCACTGTTCCCAATCCTGTATCAATCCTCACTGTTCCCAATCCTGTATCAATCCTCACTGTCCCAATCCTGTATCAATCCTCACTGTCCCAATCCTGCATCTATCCTCACTGTCCCAATCCTGTATCAATCCTCACTGTCCCAATCCTGTATCAATCCTCACTGTCCCCAATCCTGTATCAATCCTCACTGTTCCAATCCTGTATCAATCCTCACTGTTCCCAATCCTGTATCAATCCTCACTGTCCCAATCCTGTATCAATCCTCACTGTCCCAATCCTGTATCAATCCTCACTGTCCCCAATCCTGTATCAATCCTCACTGTCCCCAATCCTGTATCAATCCTCACTGTTCCCAATCCTGTATCAATCCTCACTGTTCCCAATCCTGTATCAATCCTCACTGTCCCAATCCTGTATCAATCCTCACTGTTCCCAATCCTGTATCAATCCTCACTGTCCCAATCCTGTATCAATCCTCACTGTCCCAATCCTGTATCAATCCTCACTGTTCCCAATCCTGTATCAATCCTCACTGTCCCAATCCTGCAGCAATCCTCACTGTTCCCAATCCTGTATCAATCCTCACTGTTCCCAATCCTGTATCAATCCTCACTGTCCCCAATCCTGTATCAATCCTCACTGTCCCAATCCTGTATCAATCCTCACTGTTCCAATCCTGTATCAATCCTCACTGTTCCCAATCCTGTATCATTCCTCACTGTTCCCAATCCTGTATCAATCCTCACTGTTCCCAATCCTGTATCAATCCTCACTGTTCCAATCCTGTATCAATCCTCACTGTTCCCAATCCTGTATCATTCCTCACTGTCCCAATCCTGCATCTATCCTCACTGTTCCCAATCCTGTATCAATCCTCACTGTTCCAATCCTGTATCGATCCTCACTGTTCCCAATCCTGTATCATTCCTCACTGTCCCAATCCTGCATCTATCCTCACTGTTCCCAATCCTGCATCTATCCTCACTGTTCCCAATCCTGTATCAATCCTCACTGTCCCAATCCTGTATCAATCCTCACTGTTCCCAATCCTGCATCTATCCTCACTGTTCCCAATCCTGTATCAATCCTCACTGTCCCAATCCTGTATCAATCCTCACTGTTCCAATCCTGCATCTATCCTCACTGTTCCCAATCCTGTATCAATCCTCACTGTTCCCAATCCTGTATCAATCCTCACTGTCCCAATCCTGTATCAATCCTCACTGTCCCCAATCCTGTATCAATGCTCACTGTTCCCAATCCTGTATCAATCCTCACTGTCCCAATCCTGTATCAATCCTCACTGTCCCAATCCTGTATCAATCCTCACTGTCCCAATCCTGCATCTATCCTCACTGTTCCCAATCCTGTATCAATCCTCACTGTTCCCAATCCTGTATCAATCCTCACTGTCCCAATCCTGTATCAATCCTCACTGTCCCCAATCCTGCATCAATGCTCACTGTTCCCAATCCTGTATCAATCCTCACTGTCCCAATCCTGTATCAATCCTCACTGTCCCAATCCTGTATCATTCCTCACTGTCCCAATCCTGCATCTATCCTCACTGTTCCCAATCCTGTATCAATCCTCACTGTTCCCAATCCTGTATCAATCCTCACTGTTCCAATCCTGTATCAATCCTCACTGTTCCCAATCCTGTATCAATCCTCACTGTTCCAATCCTGTATCAATCCTCACTGTTCCCAATCCTGTATCAGTCCTCACTGTTCCCAATCCTGTATCAGTCCTCACTGTTCTCAAAGAATTGTTTAGATTTTTTATCAAAGTACATATGAAGTAGTAGACATCTGTGTGGAATCCACTTATTCCTGCCTGATTATGAATGCAGTATTAACTTTTAGTATGCTTGCTCTTGAAACAATATCAAGTTATTTCCAAATAAAAGCATACAAAGTCACAGTTACAAAAATATTAAGGTTGATAAAATCAGACAAGTTTAACATTAGATGATGCCACTATAAACACCCTTAAATATTGTTTTATTATAATTTCTATCTGTATGGTTCTAACATTATGGCATTGTTTTATTTTGCATTCTACTGTTTTTTTTATTTTTGGCTTTATGTAGCAATGCAAAGCAGGTGTTGTCACGGGGTACAGTGCTAAATAAGGAGCAGTCACCATGGAAACCAGTAGACCTACCTTTCGACATTCAAAGGGACTATCCAGTGCCAGGAAAACATATCTGTTTTCCTGGCACTGCAGGACCCTGCAGTGCCCCCCTCCTTCCCACTCCCTATACCATGTTGCTCTGCCCACGCTCCTCCCCCGCCGGCGGGGGAGACATAATGCGCATGCGCTGCAGTGTCCGCAGACGCGCATTAGATCTCCCCAAAGGAAAGCATTATTAAGTGCTTTCCAATGGGGATTCCAGCGACGTTGGAGGTCCTCATGCATAGCGTGAGGATGTCCAGTGTTGTTTAAAACACCTTTTGTGTTCTAAGAAGTTCTAAGAACACGGAAGTCCCTCTAGTGGCTGTCTGACAGACAGCCACCAGAGTAGGACTTAACCCTGCAAGGTAATTATTGCAGTTTAGAAAAACTGCAATAATTACACTTGCAAGGTTAAGGGTGGTGGGAGTTGGCACCCAAACCACTCCAATGGGCAGAAGTTGTCTGGTTGCCTGGAGTGTCCCTTTAAGTAAAACAGCACCTGCATTGATTTATTAAATCTCCCCCTATATGCTATAAATGGAATGGAAATGACACGGACAAGAATTGTTCACACTTTGCCCTCCAGCTGTTCTTGGACTGTAATTCATGGAATAATCTAGTAGAGAATTCTGGAAAAAAGTGGTTTAACAGATGGAGTTTAAGGTTGGACACCCCTCCTTAGCTGAATCTCTTGTGGAACTTCATCAACACTCCATTGTAGTAAAGTAAACTTATAAAATGAATCCTTTTTTCCCTCGTGAATTTATTTGCTAGTTTTAGGTTCTCCCAATATGTTTATTTACTAAATTACGGTATTTATGCTCTACCACCAGTGCTTTGGAAGAACGATTTGGGGCATTAAAACTTGAATATGACTAATTAAAACATGTTTACCCATAGTTCCAAATCAACTGTCATAGATAAGTCATAGATTTAGATTGTAAGCTCCTTTGAGCAGGACTCACACAGCTGCTCACTTTTGTAAGTGGATATTTGTGTAAAGATTCTAATATGAGAAATATGCTATTTCTATTTCCTTTTTAATTTTAATTCTTTCTGAGGAACATGAAGTTTTTGCCAATCGAGATTTTCGTCCCTTGAGTATTATCTTTGGTTACATAGATGTAAGGATTGATTGGCTGAACATAGTGCTATGAGTTTAAACAGAATGTTCAGCCACTTCCATTGACCAGGAAACCAGGAAACAGGGGAATAGTCATCTCTTCCTTTTCCTAAACATTCCACAAGCACAACATTTATACCAAAAAGCTCTCATGGAATGGGGGCTGGGAGGCTGATTTAAGGAATGTGCTGCCAGCTGGGTTTTGATCTTTTCTATAACTCCACAGCCTAGACACACAATAACTACAAATGTTGTCCTTATTATTCCTCGGAAAATAGTAACCAGAAAAGGCAACAAGTGACAAACCTACTTTAAGTAGGTAGTATTGAAAGAAAAAAGTAACAGAAAAATATTTTTGAGTAAATTGTCAGCTACGTTTAGATGTAACATCTATTTATCATAAGGCATTCAAAACGCCCAGCTTTGTATGTAGAGCAAATGTGGAGTGATGACGTTTGACATTTCAGTTATTATGGGCTTGTGGGTAGGTAGTTCAATCTGAGAAACACTCTAAGCAGGCAATGAGTGGAGTTATGTTTGAGTGGTTTAAGAAAAAACGGGGGATTGTCTTGCACCCTAACCTCACTACCTGTTCTGTAGTCAGCATATTGAAGAAGTTCACTTCTTCATTATCTCATTATCCATCCAAATGCATGCTCATTTGTCACAATATATAACCGCATATCTTGGTGATGCCGAATTTCAGTGCTCAAGATGAATGTGCACCGAAAAATACTATATATTTTTGAAAGAATCCTGCTACACATATCCAGAGCGTTCTTCACATTCCTCAGGTCGATGGTGATAGCATACGTGTGGAGAGGGGAAAAACCATGGGTAAAACATGACACCCTGTGCCTACTAAGGGATGGGTGGGCTGGCACTACCAAACTTCTGGAAATATTGCCAAATTACATGTCTCCAGAGGATTCTGGAATGGCACGCCACGACAGGTAAAATAGTGGTTGGGACTGGGGTGGACAGGATAAGAGGGCACATTACCTTCTCCGGTTTGGAACACCGATACGTGGATTCCGGCCTGTATCTCTCCAGGGTCACCAGCCGCACAGACTCTATAAACCTGATTCGCAGTGCATGGAGCCTCTCAGGTGTCCCCAAGCCTGCAATTGCCACTAACTCACAACTGGAACCTTGCAGGTGACCTTACTGGAGATGGCCGGCATTCTTGGGGGTTAGTGAATATTCCTCTTCAAGGTGTGCTGAGATAGAGCGGTCTCAATCTTATACCTGCACTACTGACGGGACAAAGGAGACACACATATATTAAAATCGGACTTGGAATTTCACAGACAGACAATGGGACAAGGTACTCATCCTACATCACAAAAGCTTGCATAGTGCAAAATACTGGGAAGTCAATTACAAATTCTTGTTCATGTGGTACAAAACCCCTGCCTACCTTCATAGCATTTTCCCCATGGTGCTACCAGAGTGCTGAAGGCAGTGGCACTGTGACTTTAAAACACATATGGTGGGACTGCACACGCATCACCACATTTGAAACAGGGATACACTAACTGACATATCTGAAGCATTCGAAAATATGCTCCTGCACATGACCCCCTTGCCAATTTAAAAAATAAATAAATAAATCAATCGTCTTGTGCCTGCACTCTGGAAGAGCCCAGAGACGCCCACAAAAGATCAATGGTTCAAAACGGTAGAAGAAATCCAGGCAGCCAAGGCCCTAACAGCATCCATGATGGGACAAAGTGTGAAGCACACTGAGCGCTGTTCCCCTGGATTGATTAAATCTCTTGGAGAGAGAGATAGTGGATGGGGATTGTGAGCAGGTGAGGACACGAGCCAGCCTGAGGGATCAACCTCTATCTTTACCCTCATTTTCTTGTCACATTTTTTTGTCTTAATCTTTTACACTTCTTCTCTTACGCTACTCTCTTCTAACCCCTTCCCTGCATATACCAGGCATCACGAATGTTCAACGGCTCATCCTGTAGAAACACAACACCGGTGGCCCTAGTATGGATGGGATACTGGATGATACACAATACGCAAATTAGCCCTTGTGAACAGATAAGACTGCATGCATTGAAGGTGTTCATTTTCTTGGTTTTTGGAAATGTTAATACCCTAATGTTGAGCAGTGCTGACTATACGTAATGAGAGTTATATTGAAGGAGGGATTTACTGTGATAAAGATGTTGATACGGGTAGGCCAGAGAGAGTAGTTAGTGGGAGCTCGGGCTGTGGAAGAGGATAATGGGGACCCCAGGTTATTTGAAACTTAAACTAGCTATGGACTCATACACTGATCAGCCACACATTAAAACCATTGACAGGTGAAGTGATTGATATTGATTATATCGTTACAATGGCACCTGTCAAGGGGTGATATATTTAAGCAGCAAGTGAACAGTCAGATCTTGATGTTAATGTGTTGGAAGCAGGAAAATAGACAAGCAAGTGAAAAGATCGGAGTGACTTTGACAAGTGCCAAATAGTAATGGCTAGCCAACTTAGTCAGAGCATCTCCAAAACGGCAAGTCTCGTGGGATGTTCTCAGTGTGTAGTGGTTATACCTGCCAAAAGTGTTGCAAGGAAGGACAACTGGTGAACCAGCGTCAGGGTCATGGGCACCCAAGTTTCATTGATGTGCATGTTTGGAGCGAAGGCTTCTGTAACTAAAATTGCTGAGAAGATCTTAAGGAAGACCCGAATGGGTAGAAACGTCGATCATATTATGGTATACCTTTTGATGGATTAAATACTTTTCTACTGTTTGAAAGACCGGAGAGTGCATCCTTTCTTTATACATATTGTATATAACTTCAGCGTGGGAGTGCACCAGGGCATCTAACTAATTACTGTGTCACCAGCAAGGGTGATTGCCATTATACTTATATTATACATATATATATTATCCATAACACAGGACAGTATGTTTATGTGCTGCAAAACAATATGATGAAGTTAAGTGTCCAGGAATATATGGTGGATATGGCAACCCTAGATATATATAACCATTGTACCTTAGTAGTTTCATGGGTCAGTTCGTCATTAACATTGAGTATATCAATGTAGATACATTTCAGGTGGAGTTTAAGGGCAAAAGGTTTATTATTCTATTTTTATGTCCTATTTATAAATGTCTTGGGCGTTTTAAAACATGTGGACAGTGTCATCGTGAATCTGTCATCATTTGGAATCTGCAGGAGGATTACCTCCTAAAATGCACAAACCATATTTCAGACCAAGTGTTTACATATGTTGTACATGTGTGTTATTATTTAAAGGGGCGCTACCATAACAGTTCCTTTTTTTTTTTAAAGATATACATTTTTTATTGATATTTGTTATAAAATCATACGGAAATAAAAATTTACATTTGTAACAAAAGTTGCATAAACAAGTACTTGACAGTAAGAACAATCTACATTACAGTAAGAGATTTTATATAAGTATACTATAGATGTGAAAAATGATAAATATTTTATTTTCCTAGCAGTTGTTTGTGTTTAGATCTCTTTAGGTCTTTTTTTTACTTTGGTAAAAAAATAATAATATAGTTTTCATGCTGCAGATGGTTTGATACCGGTGCCATTGATTTTAGGAGGGGGTTGGCTGACATACACAAACAGAGATATTCACTAAAGTGTGGAATTTCCTGGAATTTAAAGTAAATTAAATATTAAAGTGACATTCCAGGAACTATAACAAGTTAATCTCAATTAAGTTGTTGTGGGGCCAGGAGGTCCCAGGCGCCATCTTTCCTTAATTGGCTAAACTCTTTGAGAACAATTGAAACCCCAATTTGTGAAGATGGTCCTCTGCCCAGCTCCTTCTGTGAATTGTCCAACACTTCTCGGACTGGGAACCATTGATGTGCAGAGAGAATCAGCTGATGCTCTCAGCCAGTCACCAGCTCCCAATTCTTAAATCTGAGTGAAACTTTTTTCCTCGGACAGAATAGGCACCGCCCATGCAAGTTTGCGGTTTAATTCCTTATGCTAAGACAGTGCCCGAGACTTCTTGGCACTATAACAAGTTCTTTGAGATGAAGTTATTATGGTGCCCAGAGTGGTACTTTAATCTAGAAAATGTGTACAAAATAGTCACACAGCTAATGGTGAAAATTTTTCCAATCTGACTATTTTAGGCTAACATTTTAAATTGAAAAACGAGAACGTGCTGGGATGTGATAACATCAGAACTGTGTACAAACATTTAACAAAATACTCAAAACTAAAAAATGGTGATTGTGTTATATAAAACTAACTAACATAACAAAATAAGTAAAAAAAAAAATCTTTTCAAAGGGAGGCAAGGTGGGCAGGACACCTAAATAATGATTATGCCACTATAGTGACAGAAATACATGTTTGTGTTCCTGACACTATAGTGTTCCTCCTTCTAATATAAAATGAAAGAACCAATTGCATAGACAAAACATCAAACAAGCAATTCACTCTTCGTTTCATTCATTGTATACGAATAGCCGAAGTTTGGACGAAAATGTGTTTATCCGAAAACGAACGCCCAAGTTTTCCAAATATCATGAAATTACCGTGTCATTTGATAAATAGATTTTAAACAAATATATATTCAAATGTAATTTTTGAGTATATTGTTAACATGCCTGCACAAACTATTTCTATTTCATAGTTCCACTTGCTTCTCCGGAGAGCAAAGGAAAGTTTCCACAGGTATTGCTGGAGCAGACGTCATTTAAACATCAGTATAACTCAAGAACAACACCAAATGAACCAATTCGTGGAAAGGTAAGAAAATTAGATCACATACGTGTAGAGGTGTCTGGGTTTCTGGTTCCTTCAAGGTGTCCTGCGTACATCATAAAGCATGACATTGAATGTCTCCAGAACTCCAAAATATAATTATTTCCCAAAAATAATCCAAAGCACATATTCACTCATACTGACTACATCCCCATTCATTTTGCTTAAGTCAGGTGTCTTTAAAAAAACTAAACGAAGATTACATTTTGTGAGCCTTGAAGCTGGTGTTTAGTGAGTTGGTGCTCTGGATTCTGGATGTTGGAAGTGTGAGTAATTCCCTGCATGTGTGTATCCATGTATACATGAATGTGCGCTTGTATGTATGTATCTGTGAGTGAGTGTTAATGTAAGTGTTTATGTGCCTGTATGTGTGTATTTGCCTGTATACTGCATGTGTGTCCTTGTACGTGTGCATCTGTGTGTATGCCTGTATGCATGTATCTGTATAAGTAAAGTTAATGCACCAGGTGCGAGGTTGTTTTTTTTTTAATGTATTGGATCAATGCTGGATTAACGCTTCAGGTATGGGGACAATGTTGCAGGCACTGGGTTAGTGCTGTGGTTGTCTGTGTGTATAGGAGTGTGTCTGGGAGTACAGACATGTGTGTGGAAGTATGGATCTGTGTGTGTGCCAAAATGATCTAGGGGGAGGGCTGGCAAGTGCCTTCCCAAGAAGCCAAGCAATGGCATGCTTCTCAGCCCGCCACTGATATCGAAGAGGAGGAGTGAGAACTTGGTCTGTACTTCCATGCCAAGTTCTCTGGTCCTTCTACTGTATCAAAGCGTTACTGTGGCAACATTCTAATACATGTCCCAGCACCAGATGGAAGAAGCTTGCTGCCCCGGCAGGGTATGCAGACAAGTTGCATTTCCCAAAGGACCACCAGGGATCAGGATTCAACCTTCTCAGCCGGGCAAAAGATAAGCCTCTGGGAGTGGGGAAGAAACTTTGTTTTGTGCTTTAATTAAAAATATATTTTGTATACTTGCCCCTCAGTCTTTATCACGTCACTAGATCCCCTAACCCTCACTACTGGCTCTAACCTCCATTACTGCCCCTAACCCCCCTCCTGCAGTTTCTAACACCCACACTACTTCTCCTAACCCCCCCCACTACAGCTCCAAAACCCCACTTCAGCCTTTTACCCCCAACTACTTCTAACCTCCACTACCCCTACCCCCCACTACTGACTCTACCCCCCCACAACACCTTCTGAATCCCCCACTAGAGCTTCTATCCCCACTATAGCTACTTAACCCCCACTAAAGCTCCTAACCCCCCACTACAGCCTCTAACCCCCACTACTACCTCTAACCCCCACCACCGCCTCTTAACCCCCACTACTAATACATACAACCCTGCCTTGAGCAATATTATACAAAGTTCGTAATGGGAAATGGGTGGGAAGCAATGAGAGCCCTGCACATAAAGCTTACATATCCTTTTTTTTATACCACAATGACTTGCAAAGAATTCTGGGAAATGTAGTTGAATGGTATGTGAAGAACCAAGGATGTACAAGGATGTTTATGAAAGAAAATAGTGAGACAAAAAAAGGTTTATCAACAAAAGCAGCAATTGTGGGGAAATTCAGCAAAAAGAAATGCATTGCAGAGATGTATTGTATCTGATTTTGTTCTGTCGTTGCTGCATTTATTTGTACTACACTATAGAATGTTCTGGTGCTTTCTGAATAAATATTACAATTATTTATTAATACTATTTAGCACAAAGTAAAGTTACAGACAGGTCATTGTTTAGAGATTCTCAGATCTTCATCTGTCCGTCCCGTTGCCAATGAAGAGGCAGATTACTGAGTCGATTTTTTAATTAATTTTTTTGCTAGATAGCTATTAAGTGGATAGATGAATGCAGTCTGCAGCTGCTCTCTGCTAAATGTCAACTGTGTTTCCTTTTCCAGCTTCATGGAGCCTTTGTGTGGAAGGAGATAAAAACAGAGACCAAGCCCTGTGTTCCTCAGGGAACCAAACCGTTCCCAAATGTTACAGGGTCACACTCACTTCACCAGGCACAAATACAGAACGGAAGTGCAGTGGAAAGCAGTATGACCTCACCCAGTCTCCGCAAGCAAGGTTCCCAGCAGATGTTTAACTCTAAAACCGACTTATCAAAAACAGACTTCCGAGAGACAGCTACAGTGTTTCCCAGAATTCCATCCACACATTCACTCTCAGACAGTATACAGCCTACCAGGAGTGGGACTTGTATTCCCACTGGTGGAATACTATCAAGCCAGTCATGTGTGAAGCCCATGCAATTAGCCCACTAGCACAATGTTTTAATATTTCCTCCCAGCCAGACTACGACATGTATTGGGCTTTCGCTGCAACCAGCACGGAGCACACATCGGCTTATAATTACATCAATAGTTGCAAGCATCAGCTGAGACCAGGCAAATGACCTTCCCCTGTTATCCTGACCCTCTCCTTTTTTTAAAAGCTAGTCGTATCAGTTAAATAAGTCAAATGCATTGCAAAAAGCACTTGTCTTGGAGTGTGTGTTTTTTATTATTAATATAAGACAGTGGTGACTAACCATTACACTCCAAGATGTTTCAAAACCACATTTTTCATTGGGAAAGAGAGTTTAGGAAAGTTTGGGTGCGAGAGTTATCCTGTATCTTATTATAATTTGCTATGATCAGATCTATAGAATTTTCATGTTTATAATTTTGATTCAATAATAGTAAAAAAAAATATTTATTTATATGTCTTGCAATGTTGTTTGCTGTTTTCAAATAAAAAGCAGAAATGCATTTTAAATCAGTTTATCATAACTATTAAATGTTTATATATCACCTCTATTTTTCGGTACTTATCTATACAATTTCTGGTGATGCATCCAGTTAATAAAAGTCATTTTAATTAGTGGGGTATTGGGGGATGTCTGTTTGCGAATGCCTATTCTCTGTGTCCATGCACGCAAAAATAAGGAATTATTTTAAAAAAAAAGTCATTTTAGTTCAGGGACTTGTAGATTTGTACACTGCAAAAAAATTGGTTCTACCTAATCGATTCGCCCACAAAAAAAAATGTTTAGCTCAATTCAGGATTCATCCATGTGACATTTCGGTTCAGACAAACTTCATCTATGCAGTCATTTCGGGAAAACATTTAAACGAACCAAAAGCTGAGAGTATGGGCTAATGTACTGCATACCTAATATAAATATTTAAAACAAGTCCAGGCACTTGCACTCTGGCTTAAAAATCACTACCCGGTGCCAAGTCACATAAATTACAGTGCCTTGCAAAAGTATTCACCCCCTTGGCATTTTTCATGTTTTGTTGGCTCACAAACTGGTATTAACATGGATTGTTTGAGGATTTGCATCATTTAATTTACAGAACATGCCCACAACTTTGAAGAGTTTTTGTTTGTTTTTTATTGTGAAGCAAGCAACAAATAGGACAAAATAACAGAAAAGGTCAATGTGCATAACTATTCAGCCCTCTCAAGTCAATACTTTGTAGAGCCACCTTTTGCGGCAATCACAGCTCCAAGACGCTTTGGATAAGTCTTACCACTGGGATTTTTGCCCATTCCTCCCTGCAAAACTGCTCCAGCTCCTTCAAGTTGGATGGTTTGTGCTTGTGAACAGCAATCTTTAAGTCTGACCACAGATTTTCTATTGGATTGAGGTCTGGGCTTTGACTAGGCCATTCCAACACATTTACATGTTTCCCCTTAAACCCCTCAAGTGTTGCTTTACCAGTGTGTTTGGGGTCATTGTCCTGCTGGAAGGTGAACCTCCGTCCTAGCCTCAAATCACGCACAGAATGGTACAGGCTTTGCTCAAGAATATCCCTGTATTTAGCACCATCCATCTTTCCCTCAATTCTGACCAGTTTCCCAGTTCCGGCTGCTGAAAAACATCCCCACAGCATGATGCTGCCACCATCATGTTTCACTGTGGGGATGGTGTTCTTTGGGTGATGTGATGTGTTAGGTTTACGCCAGATATAGCGTTTTCTTTGATGGCAGAAAAGTTCAATTTTAGTCTCATCAGACCAGAGCACCTTCCTCCACACATTTTGGGAGTCTCCTACATGCCTTTTTGCAAATTCTAAACGTGCCATTTTGTTTTTTTGCTGAAAGTAATGGCTTTCTTCTGGCCACTCTGCCATAAATCCCAACTCTATGGAGCGTACGGCTTATTGTCGTCCTATGTACAGATACTCCAGTCTCTGCTGTGGAACTTTGCAGCTCCTCCAGGGTTACCTTAGGTCTCTATACTGCCTCTCTGATTAATTCCCTCCTTGCCCGGTCCGTGAGTTTTGGTGGGCGGCTGTCTCTTGGCAGGTTTGCTGTTGTGCCATGTTTTTTTCATTTGTTTATGACAGATTTGATGGTGCTCCTGGGGATCAACAAAGATTTGGATATTTTTTTATAACCTAATCCTGACTTGTACTTCTCAACAACATTGTCCCTTACCTGTTTGGAAAGTTCCTTGGCCTTCATGGCAGTGTTTGGTTAGTGGTGCCTCTTGCTTAGGTGTTGCAGCCTCTAGGGACTTTCAAAAAAGGTGTGTATACGTAATGACAGATCATGTGACACTTAGATTGCACACAGGTGGACATCATTTCACTAATTATGTGACTTCTGAAGGTAATTGGTTGCACCAGAGCTTTTTATGGGCGTCATAAAAAAGGAGGTGAATACATACGTACATGCCAATTTTCTGTTTTCTATTTCTAAAAAATAGTTTTATGTATACATTTTTCTCATTTCACTTCATCAACTTAGACTATTGTGTTCTGATCTATCACATAAATTTCAGATTAATAAAACATTGAACTTAAGGCTGTAATGTTACAAAATAGGTAAAAAGTCAAGGGGGGTGATAACTTTTGCAAGGCACTGTATAAATACTAAAGAAAATACCGGCACTCTGGGGTTTCCAAGTACTTCTTCTTTATTCAAGTAAATCCAGGTCAACGTTTCAGGTCCTTACCAGAGCTTTCATCAGGACATATAAAGCATACTACAATTTTTTTCTAATTCTCCTTCCACTGATCGATGTGTCCTGGTTACCATAGGAACGCACCCAAACCCACGTTAATAGGCGGGCGAATCAACCTTGGCTAAGAGGAGATAATCTCCCAACGACAGCTGTACGCGCAGGAATAGCCAATGGCGATGATGCGTCATTGGTCTCCTTGGTAACGTGACGTAGCCGGAGCACTAGGATTTGTCCTTGCCCAAACCTTTGACGTGAGGGTGAACCTTGGGATTTCGCACATGCGCTGTGGCTTTCGATGCACGCCGATCAATTAAGAGAACGGAGAACAGCAGATTTGGTGAGTTCCAGTGTGATATTTGTTCTATATAAAGCCCTTACTGTGTAGTATGCTTTATATGTCCTGATGAAAGCTCCGGTGAGGAGCTGAAACGTTGACCTGGATTTATTTTAATTAAAAAAAAATATTTGGAAACTCCAGAGTGCCGGTATTTTTTTGGTATTAGTAAATATAAATATTATGTATATATTTTACTGTACACTGATGGGGGCTTTTTCCCACCATTTGGTTCACAAATTAAGTGGGAAGAAGTAACCATTAGAGCATTAGAGAAAAAAAAGGAAGAACCGTAAAATAAAATCTACCGTATATACTCGAGTATAAGCCAAGTTTTTCAGCACATTTTTTGTGCTGAAAAACCCCAACTCGGCTTATACTCGAGTCACTGTCTGTATTATGGCAATTTACATTGCCATTTACATTGCCATAATACAGACTGGGGGCTGGCAGAGCTGTTACTTACCTCTCCTGCAGCTCCTGTCAGCTCCCTGCTCCTCCGCGCCGGTCCGGTCAGCACCTCGGTCAGCTCCCAGTGTAAGTCTCGCGAAAGCCGCTGGGTCATAGTGCGGCTCTCGCGAGACTTACACTGGAAGCTGACAGAAGAGCTGCACGGACCGGCGCGGAGGAGGAGAGAGCTGACAGGAGCTGCAGGAGAGGTAAGTAACAGCTCTGCCAGTCCCCCTCGTCCCCCCACTGAACTGCCAATGCCACTGGACCCCCAGGGAAGGAGAGCCCCCCTCCCTGCCATGTATCAAGCAGGGAGGGGGGACGATAAATAAATAAATTAATAATACATAAATATAAATAATAATATAAATAATAATAAAAAAAAATAATATAACAAAATCATACACACACACACTGCATTCATACACACTGCACTCATACACACACACTGCACTCATACACACTCACTGCGCACTCATACACACACACTGCGCACTCATACACACACACTGCACTCATACACACTGCATTTATACACACACACTGCATTCATACACACACACTGCATTCATCATATACACACACTGTAAATAAATATTCAATTAATATAATTTTTTTAGGATCTAATTTTATTTAGAAATTTACCAGTAGCTGCTGCATTTCCCACCCTAGTCTTATACTCGAGTCAATACATTTTCCCAGTTTCTTTGGGTAAAATTAGGGGCCTCTGCTTATATTCGGGTTGGCTTATACTCGAGTATATACGGTATATATATCATGTATTTATTAAATATATTACTATATAAATATAGATATTTGTTTTACTCCTTCTCCTTTTACCTCTATTGGTCAATTCTTACTTAATCTGTGAATAATATCAACATTTATTAGCTGCCCCCTAACCATCAATCATCTTGTTTCCCAAAAATCATCTAATTTATTGGCACCAAGGAAAGAACTCCGAATCAGCAATCAAACAAAACCGTTTGTCAGTTGTCTGTTTTGTATATTTCGTGATTCATCCATAAAGTGTTTCAGAGGTACAGAATTCAGAAGAAGCGATTATCGCCCAAAACTCCTTCATTTGAAATCAAAATCTAGGAATAAGCCCACACTGATTTCCAGAGGAGACCCAACTTTGAAGGAGTTTATTATAGGACCTTATCCAGAAATAACTGGCTCATGGAAATATAATAATTTGCATTAAATATCATAATTATGTGTTGAGGGAATGAATTTTGACAGCAGAATGAAAATAAAATTTTCTATTTTTGAATTAATGAATATTGTGCCTAGAGTATGCATATTCCTGAACAATTGCCTTTTCTCATTGCATTTGAAATGGTATATTTAAAACCAATGCACTCATGACACCTAAAGCCCAGCCCGTTTTGCTGTTTTGTTTTGGTTTAGGCCATTTCTTCCACAGCCCAGACTTTCTGTAGCTGTCCAATCACAGACTTCCCAATGCAGCTCGATAAAAAGTCTTTGCAAGGTAGGTGCTCTGGGCAATTGCCTGACTCGAGTTTAGTTCCACTGAGCTAACCAAACCAGGAAGTAACAGGACATATTGTCTGATTGACAGCCAGGGGGGTGTGACAAAGTTTATTTATAAAAGTGCCAATTTCTATTGAAATCTGCACTTTTTGTAAAAATGAAAAATAGGACACACTCTTCACACATAAAGCAATTCTGCAAGGTGAAGTGCTTTAGGTGTCTGGAGTGCCCCTTTAAATAAATACAGAAAAAGTACAAGTCGCCAAAACAGTAAAAATAACAAATGGAACAATTGTGGAAATAACCTGTGGTTCACACCATCACACCACCAACTGCTTCACACCTTATGTGGCAAGTGTTGATTTGGCTAGTGGTGGGAAGAAAGGGGAGGCTGGCGAGATGGCCGCTTGGCCCCAACTAGGAGAGCCTGATCCCAGACGGAGGCACTAGCACTGTGTGTCGAGATGTTGACT